AGCAGCCTTCACCACATAATCAGTCAACTCGTAGTCTCTATCTCTTTCTCTTTCTTTCAAAACTTTCAACAGATATCTTCTAATGGAACTTTAAAAGCTTAAGTATAGGCTTCTAATTAAAATATTAATTTTTACCTTTCAATAACTGCCATTTTGCATAAAATGTGTTTGTAAATTTATGCAGCAGAGATCAATTACGTTTTTTGTCGAGGAGGTATACGAAGCCATGACTTCATCATGTCATATGCTGTGAAACCAATTGAAACCGAAGGAACAATCTGCCAACAATTGTGTATCTCTGTTAGTATTTTTTTTTGTGAAAAAAAATCATTTATTAAGACAGAGAACACTTAAGAGGAAAACCAAAGGTATAAACGAAATCACTTCTTGCTATACATATGTACACTTTGAAACACTAATATTACCACCTTTTTTCCATTTTATCTTGCCAAATATTAGTTGTGCAATATTTCCTTTTTATGAACAAATTCTGAAGCAAAATGACATGTTTTCATGAGTGAATAACACTTTCAACCAACTATTATACCTTCAAAAATGTAAAAAATACATTGTATGTAGTAGGCAAACATACAATGCATTATAAATACTACACATTTCATTTACAAATAATAATAATAATAATAATAATAATAATAATAATAATAATAGCTCAATTAAGATTATATTAAATATATATCTTCTTAATTGCTTTAACAAATAATTGTAACTGAATTAAAACGATGATACTCTAGAAAAACAAGATTTGTATAATGCGGTAAATAGAAAGAAACTAAAGTAAGATGATATAATACACAACTATATTATATGAAAGGACATTGGTATTTCTTGCTTTTAACCCTATGTAAATTGAAAGAGAATAAAGGTGAAGATGTAGAAAGACCTTGATGTAATTTATGCTGAGGCCAGCAAATAATTGCCTCCATCCTTGTTCAGAGACAATAGTGGTGATCCCCTGCCATGTATTCTTATGTCTAGCACCACTACCACCCCCAAAGGTTTGCATATTCTCAACCTAAAATTAATTATCAAAATCAACCACTTTCATTTCTTTCTATTAAAACATTCTACTTTCATTTTTTTCTCATATTAAGGCATAAGGCATTGTAAAATCTAACGAGTTACAACATTGTAATTTGAAAAATCTACTTAATTATAACACTGAAAATTGCTTTGTATTTGGTTGGCATTGTGGTGATTGGGTGGACTTTTCAACGTAAAATGCTATAATACATATATAAAGATGTATGTTGCTATTTATTGCATATTTTCATTCATCACTTCTTTTGTTTATTATAGCATCCTACTTTCATTTCTTTCTATTAGGACATTGTAATTTCAAAAAAAAAAAATGGACTTTGAAAAATCTAGGGTTAATCTCATAAAAGACCTTATATTTTGTGTTTTTTCTGGATTAAACCTCAAATTTATTTTTTACCTGAAAAAGACCTTGTATTCTTTAATTTTGTCCGATCTGACCATTCTAGTCATTTTTTTTTTCCAAAAAAAGGTTAATCTCATTAAAGACCTTATATTTTGTGTGTTTTCCAGATTAAACCTCATCTTTATTTTTTGAATGGAAAAGACCTTATATTTTTTTCCAAAAAAACCCTTAACTTTGTCCTTTTTTTCAGAAAAAAAGCTTCAAACTTCTAAATGTTTCCAAATAAATCCTCAGCTTTTTTAGTTTTTCCTGAAAAAACTCACATTTTACAACTTTTTTTTAGAGAAAAATGACTAAAAGGGCCAGATTGGAAAAAATGAAAAAATACAAGGTCTTTTTCATGAAAAAAATAAATAAAGTTGATGTTTAATCTGGAAAAAAACCAACATATAAGGTTTTTTATGAGATTAACCCCCAAAAAAATTGTAAAATGTAAGGTTTTTTTCAAGAATAACTAAAAAAGTTGAGGGTTTATCTGAAAGCGGGTACAAGGTTGAGGGTTTTTTTTCCAAAAAAAAAAAGTTGAGGGTTTTTTCAGAAAAAAATGAAGAAGCACAAGGTCTTTTCTAGGCAAAAAAAAAAATACAGTTGAGGTTTAATCCGAAAAAAAAAACAAAATATAAGGTCTTTTATGAGATTAACCCAAAAATCTACTCAACTAAAATAGTGAAAATTGCTTTGTATTTGGATGAAACTACCATAAGCAGGTAGATTATTCATAAGTACAAAGCTATCATAAGAAGAAAAGAAAGTAAGATGCTATAATAAAAGAAAAATGTAACAAATAAATAATTACAAGTACGTTGCTATTTCTTGCATTTAAGGAAAAAATAAGTGATAACATAACAAGTACCCGTATCTGCCTTCTAACAACATCTAAAGGGTATGTGAAAGTTTGGCCAAATAAACCAGCCAAAGCACCACAACACAAACGCATCATGATTGATCTCTGATGCTCTTCAAAAATATGTCTTTTCAGCTTCTCATAAATGTAAAACTTCAATCCAGCATATGGCAGAATGCCAATGAGTGTTGGACCTGATTTGGATATACATAATAAAATAAAATTTTAAATATAGATATAAATGTAAAACATGTCTTTTTGCTCCACATTTTGAAAATTAAAGGAATATAATTTCGTTCAAGAGTGGTCCATTACATTCAATCAGACACAACAGATAGTTATTTTTTTTTCATTTCAAAAATATATGATAAAAGGCATAATGGATGATTCATAACAAACCTACACCTCGATACTACCCACGCATACCAACCTCTGTATAGAAAAAAAAACATATGCAATACATTCCATAACTATTTGCAGAAAAGCAATTGAAACCAATTAAATATTTTTCATTGCATAATCCCCATTTACGAAAATGCAATAAGACTTTTGGGTCTACTCATATTTTAAAATTTCTATCTGTGCTCTGAAGTACTGCAAAAACCAAAAGAAAAAGAAAATACAACAAGAATAGTGTCAAGCATGAGACTACAAAAAGTGAAAAAGGTATTTGCTTTGCTTCAAAAGTTGGAATATTGGTTTAACACATAGTATTAAAAAACTGTGACAATTACTAATATCATGCAATAATAATCACCGACAAAAATGTAATTATAGAATGAAAACTCAACAAAAAAATATATGTTGCATCTGCTTTGTTCTTAGGATGGAATATAAGTGTTTGGGCCTAATTTTCACATTTTACATATAGTAATCATTTATAAGAGAGCTATCGTATTCATAGCAATCATAGGCATTGTAATTTATAGCTTTACTATTAATAAGGTTATTAGAGAAAATTACATTTTCGGTCCCAACCTGATCACTTGCATTTTTCGTTTTTATTTCAGATTCACTACTATCTTTGGTCCTTGAGTATAGCTAATTTTTTCAATTTTCGTCCCTAATGGCTAATATATTGTGATTTTACTTGGGACAGGGATCAAAAACGTTACAAAACCTCAAATAAGTGGAAATAGAAAATGATTGTTTAGTGACAGCTGGCAATACTTTTATCTTTATCTTTTTTTTTGATAAAGAAAATGAAATAATAAATATACCTGCACGTGGGGTCACGACATCTATATGCGGATGTACCAAATATATGATAAGGAACAGAAAAGAATTCATTGTAAATAAGACCACAGTAGATGGAAAAATAGCCTGTTTATTTTCTTGATTGTGCATGTTTGTGATGTTGTGAGTAAAGCTAACACCTTTTTAGTTTTTACATAAATGGTTGAAATTTGTCAAAGAATTATTTACATACCAAATGCTCTCAACAAAGCTCAACAGCAATGAATGGAGGAGAATTTAGACTTGAAATTGCAGGCCGGTTGCTTTTGCCTGTATTTTGTGCCATTAGTGGATTCCCATCATCAGAACCTTCGCCCCCAAAAGCACCAACTGCTGTTTGCATTGTCCTACAACCAAAAAACTTATTAAATTGACAAATTTAGTTAATAAATTCATTATTCAGGCAATATATTTTCGGATCACATGACAAGTTTAGTTAATAAATTCATTATTCAGGCAGTATATTTTCATTTCCCTCCATTAGATGTTGATCCGGAACCACTACTGGAGCTACTTGAACTACTGCTTTTGTTGTTCCTCACAGCTGTGTCTCTCTCTATCTCTACTGGAGGGAAGCTAGAAATAGGTATCTCATCTCCACCAATGTCCACATCCTCTTCATTACCTTCATTAGCTGAAACTAACAACAATATTACAACCAACCACCAAAACAACCATATTTCTGCTTCCATAGAAATAAAGAAATAAACCTTTGCATGCTTGCATAGATGAGTTGCTGAACCCTGAATCATCGGAAGCTGCAATAACACATACACAATCAAAACAATCACCCAAAACTGCTTTGTAAACATGGATTTTTGACTCCAGGGCATGAGGCAAAGCCTCATGTTTGCAGCGGGGGATTAGTCGGTGCGCGAAAGCTGGCCCGGGAACCCTCGTTAGGGAAGTTCCCTTTCCAAAAAAAAAACAGGGATTTTTGAATAAATGGGTACCTTAATTTCACAAGTTTCATCTTTTACCATGTTTTTCTGTTTCTCCACAAAATGATCATCCAAAAGATTCCTCAATTTGAATAGAGTATCATCACTAAGGGTATCAATATCAATCTCAATTTCATCTGTGGCAACCGACAACTTCTTCTCAATTGGTTTTCATGAAAACAGGGACAATAAATTCAAAAGAAAAGAAAAAAAAGGTACGGGAAGCGATTCAGAAAGGATTTCAATCAAATATATCGCAATCATTCCCCAAAGCAATTTCAAGGGCTTTCCCATCCACCACAAGAGCAAAAGGATCATCCTTGGTGTTTTCGTTTACTGTCACTTGATAAGAAGCCTCGATTTGATTTAATATGTCATCTGTCATAGTCTGAAAGCTACAAAATATTGAATCATTACCCCTAACTCGCATTTTTCTACCTGTAACTTTTCTGCCTCAGATTGAATATATAAACCGACTCAATTCAAGTTCATAAATATTCACCTTTAGTTGATTTTTTCATTCAGAATCCCTGCTCAAACTCAGATGAAACTGCTTCATATCATGCCTAAGCAAACTACAAGCGAATCTGACCAAATATCCAAAAAAAAAGGTTAGAATGTTCCTAAAAAAGGGTTATTCTTTCAGGCTTTCAGCAACCACTGTCCCATCCTAAAAGCATCATGTGACATGTAAGTTAGATACACAAAGTCCCGCGAAAAGCCCAAGTGCCTATAAGGAGTCCAATCCACAATGGAACTGAAACTCTCAAATATACCACCCTAGAACCAATTGGAACCTGATAATTGATGAAGGCATCTATTTGAGAATTCTAACCCAATATTAACTGCAGTCTCCTTTTTGTCTCCAGTAAGGAGCCATATCTTGAGTCCAGCTTGTGCGAGTTTATCTATGCATTCTGCAACCTGAAATCAATGTTAGGAAGTGATGGATATGTTATCAAAGACGAGAAAAGAGTTTCGAGTAAATGTTTAATGGTTTTTACAATTTTACCCCATCTTGTAACTTGTCATCAACAGCTACAGCACCTAACAACATCAAATCTTTATCGATGATTTCATACACATTCTCTAGCACCTGAACCAAGATTTCTCATAGTTTTTGCATCATCAAAGATACTTTTCTTTACTTCGTTATCTTGATCGGGACAAATTTCATGCATCTCAATACTATCACGAGGCTCAAAATCCTCACCATCTAGATTGAAACGATAGCTATCGATATTAATATTCATTCTGTGAGAAGTAGCATGAACAATTGCATTTACATCAACACCATAAGAAATTCCTTCAATGGAGCACTTCTTGAACTCCATTTGGTTACAAGTTAAAGTCCCGGTCTTATCAAACAAAATCATCTCAACCTGACCAAGTTCCTCATTCAAATTTGAAGTCCGGGCTTCAACTGATTTCCCAGACATTTGATCGAACAGTTGGAGGTCATTGTTTATGAGCATTGCTTGTAAGAACTTCACTACTTCAATGGAGACGTAAAGGGAGATTGGGATCAAGTAACCATACAATATGAGTGCTCTCAAGAATTGAAGAAACCCAGAGATGAGTGGTTTATCAGGATCAAAAGACGCATTTGTATCTTCGAGTAACTGAAGGTACCATCATTCTTTAGCTGTTTGTTTTGAGTCTGTACCAATGGAGGAGATTAAAGATATTAGAAGTAATATGAAGAACATAACATAAATTACATGATTGCGATATAATGAAGAAAATGAAAATCCCATAATAGTTTAAAAGAACGTGAAAGAATGAAATTATGTTTTACCAAATTAGATGCGCTTTTTGAGATGTTATGAGAGGTGGGTCTTTGATTCGTGACGTTAGCGAGAGCAGGACGTTTCTTGGCCAAGTGAGGCGGCAAAGCCATTGATTTGCCGACGACATTCTCCGACACCTGCCGCTTTGCAAGTGACGACGTCGTTACAGAAGCTTTCCGATTGGACGTTGCCGTCGACATCACTCAATGCAACAAGAAACCTGGAAAAGAAAAGAAAGAAGAAAGGAACCCTAGAAAGAAAACCCTAAAATTCAACGGCGTTTGTGAATGCCCCAAGCTTCATCATAAACAGGAGGATCATGATTGGAGAAATCAATCCATTGAGGAGCGTTAATGTCTTCACCTTTTCGAACACAGCTACATCTATTGATGGATTGGAGAGATAGAGAAAAAGAAGAAGATAATGAATTCATGTTGATATATGCTCTTCGCTGCTGACTATGTGGAGAGGAAACCTAGAATGAAATGTAAGAAGGACATTACAATGCCACAAGCGTGCGTATTTTGGTGTAAGATGATGTAGCAAAAAGATCCTAAGGTAGAGAGCTAAGGAGTGAAATGCCTGTTTGAATTTAAGGTTTTCTTTTAATAATATTTAGAAATATTTTCTTTAATTAGCCAAAAAAGTCACAAACCTTGTTATCATTTAAAAAAATGCACATAAATAAAATATGGAATATTATGGGAAACAAAAGAAGAAGATGGAAATATGGTCAAATTGACATAAATAAAAAATGAAATATTATAGGAAACAAAAGAAAATGAGGGCAATATGGTATTTTGGTGGTTATTAGTGTTTATAAGAACTTATATAGTCACACGAATTGGCCATTTTAAAAGAAATTATAGGAATGATCCTTATATAAGAAAATTACAGAACATGTTCTTTTTTAAAGTGATTGTACATAATCGTACCCACATATAGTTTATTACAACTATTGCATACATAACATACATACAATCACACACAACCTAAAAAAAATCACAGAACAGTTTATTACAACTATTGCATACATAACATACATACAATCACACACAACATAAAAAAAATCACAGAACATGCCTTGCTTAAAATATGGATACAAATGACATTATTTAAAAAAAATAATAGATATTTACATGGATCGGGACTAATCTTGCAAGAGTTGGAAACCATGAAGACCAACCATGTCAAAATTTCAAAACATGGACCAAATTACTGCAAAACAGCGACAACCATAAGAAACAAAATTGTATTTACTCTAAAATTTAAATGTTATTCATTTGTTTTTGTATAAAACCATTGTACTTTGAGAGTACATTCTTATAATCGAGTCACAAGAAATAACAACGTACTTTCACATATGCATACTCACTCAAAAATGAATTAAGAAATCTAAATATTTTATTTTTGACAAATGGTTAGATAAGAAAAAAAATATATAAAAAAACCATTGTTAAATAAAAAAAGAAAGTACATTGCTATTTATCTCCATCCAACTATTAGACAAAACAATGAAATTACATTGTTAATTCTTATACTCAGCCAATATGTTAATCTATCAATATTTGGATTTGATATAGAGTATCATGAACTTTGTTTGACTTAAAAGATAAAAAAAATCATGAATCAAAGGTTGAAAATAAAAAAGGTTAAACATGCCAAAAATGCCATTCATGAGAGGGTTAAAGTCTAACAACTGACATCATATATATCCAATCACTATATACTGTATATTATTTACTATTTAGGGATGATCCATGTAATTAAATCTTTTAAGAACACGATTCATAGCTTTAAAAAAGATTCATCTTAGGAAATGATTCAACTACATTAGCATTAAATGATGCATTATCATCAAGAATAACATCTGCTCCCTTTGGCTTCCATTTACCAGACATAGAAGCACATGTGGATCATATTGTAATATTATTCATCAAAATATATTTCTACTAACAAATAGCATGATTTATTAATGTCAAATTATGTAAATTATGTAAATAGGTGGATATTAAGAAATCTACTAACCAATGGCATGGATGTCATCTCCATGGTGATAAATTTTATAAGAAACTAATTAGTAAACATTTTAAAATGTATTAAATTTTAATACTTATATGTAATTAGCAACCATTTTTCAAAAAACTGCACGAAAATTATAAGATAAATTTTTTACCCATTAAACAATGCCAAAGAAGGACCAGTGAGTAATGCATTTGAGTAAGAGAGAAAAAGAGTATCACCTTTTCGAGAAGCCATCCGATAGTAGGATTCATAAATTATTGTAGTTCTAGCCTTCTAGGTATTGTCAATATTAGGGCTTCACTGTATGCTCTCTTGACATGCCCTATTCAAATGAAGGTCAATAAGGAACTTATAATTATCCTTAAATGGAAAATTTCAAATAGTATAATTTATTATCAGTCAAGTCAAATATATACAGATGGTAGGAAAATTAAAATAAAAAAAGATTTGAAACAGAAACAAACATCAACTAAAGCAAACAAACATAATAAAAAAAAACATATATAACTTACTTCGGTTTCATGCGGACATTTCATCGAAGGTTCATGAACTTGTCAAAACCTTAAGATTAAGATTTAGAAGCTCAGTTCATCATAGTTAGAGTTTACCTTCCAAATTATAAGCCCAATTCATCATGATGGTGGTCTTTAACTTCACCGGTTCTGAGAATCATAAAACACAATAAGCTGCATTAGAAAGAATTCGGGAAATTTAAATGGTTTTTAGGTAAGAATGAGACCAAGCAGATTCGGCCATTGTTTTGTAATCAACTTCTCAATAGACAGTTTTGTCACACTCACAAAAAAACACACACTCTTTTAAAACAGAGAATATCCAAAAGAAAAATAAAAGAATAATGTTACTTGCTTTTATTGTATCAATCGTTGTTCCTCATCCTTGTAAGGACATACTTATGCATGTTTATTTTGTTTAGAAAAATAACCATGACTTATTGTAGAGAGGGATCAAACAATTTTGTGAACCGAATGATGAATATATATATATATATATATATATATATATATATATATACTTTCCAATTCTGAATATTCACACATCACACGTGAAGCGGGAGATGAAAGAACAAGAAATCCAGGCAGCCATCTTGCTTCGTGACCTTATCTATGAAGTGGAAATAGACCAAATTAGTATTGAAGAACCACAATTTCAAAAAATATATAAAACAAAACTTAAAAAAGAAACAAACCAATAGTCTCTTATGTGAAGCTATACAAACATGATTTTATTTAGTTAGGAATATTTCATATTTTCGCTGGATCCTACATGAAAAAGACATTTAAAGAAAAAACATACAAATTCATATGCCATGAAATACTAACATTCAAAGCACCTGTAACCAAAAAAATTTAAAGATGTATGAGATAAACCTAACATGCATTCGATCAAAACATAATAGAGAGCATGAGTGACGGTGGTATGTGTTTATGCGTAGAGAGAGAGAGAGAGATAGATGGTTACTGACAATTTCGAAATGGTGGCCCTCGTCTATGTCACACCCCCAAACCAGAACGACGGAAACGTCCGGGGGAGGATGACTTCATATATAGTATCATAACAAATGTGTAACAGTAAAGAAAACAAACACAACCATCATTGATATAATTTAAAAGGTTACATTGTTGATAGTGTTACATGTTTCCCAATAAATTACAATATGACGACAAAATGAGTTTTGAAATAACGCCTTAGCGTCCCGTCATCAAAAGTGGTTGGTTACATGTTCACTTATTCCCTGAGAATACAAGTAATTTTGAAAAGAGTGTCAACAATTAAGTTGGTGAGTTCATAAGAGTTTTGTTTGAGAAATATGTCGTTTTTCCTTGTAAAAATGATAGAGTGTGGTTTCCAGAAAATCCAATATTTTCTTGTAAAATGTATTGTAGTCTTAGCTACCTTAAGACCTGAAAATGTATGAATACTCTTGTACTTATAATAGTATATTGTAGTTTTATATAAATAAAACTACTTTTTGTGTGTTTGTTAATCTCTGTAAACCGTATGTATTGTTAATACCCCATGTGAGTTATTATAACCATGCTATGACCCAGTCGGCCTGTAACGACGTTCTTCAGGCGTCGGAAATGTTATGACATTTGTCACCCCAGACCTGCCGGTCTAACTGTAGCTAACAATTTAGGTGTGGGATTGTCAGTCCCGTATAGATCCATACACAACTATCTCGCTCTCCCTACAAGATATTCTGGTTACAATTACAGGACTTTAATGCAGTACTTCAAAAGTACCATGAAGCCGAATGTCTCACAAATTTATTCATTAACAGGTTCACGTCAAATGAAATGAAAACTCCTTTTTGTTGTAAATGTAAGTATTAGCCTTTCATAGTGTTTGTATAGTATGAAAATAATCCTACTTTTATATAATTATTTCTAAATCCCGAAAGGGTAAAATAACGTCAATGATTCCCGAACTATACCTATTATAGTTTAAAATGTATGTAGCGATAAAATGAACGCCTTTGTATTTTGACAACTTTGCATGTAAACGTTTATAAATTTGGTAGTAATGTCGTTTCGTATATTTGATATTTTTTACGTAATAAGATACATAAGATGTAAGAAAACATAAATAATGGTTTGTATTTTTTTTTAACACAATTTTCCTTGTGTTATACTTGTATCCCCCCCACCCCTAAAATATAGAAAAATCGTTGAAAAGTGTAGGGGTATGAAATCACCTTAAGCGTAGTCGCGGTTAGATAATGAGATAAAAACGACGATCTTCGAGTTTAGAACACGGAAAGCTAATCGTTTCCTAATAGTTTGAACACATAATTATGTGTTAACTTGTTGAACTAATCATGAAATGTATTAGTAATAACACAAGATTATAAGTGACTTACTATGATCCTTAAGAAAATCTTGAAGGAAAAATGCTCCGGGGGATACTTGATGGTTGAATTTTGAGAGTAAAATAAGGCTTGATACTTGAGAGAGAATGGAAGGGAAGTTTTCTACTAGAAATGAAATGGATCCTATTTCATACTTTATATATGAAGGAAGAGTGAGGTGATGGTGAAGTGATGTTTGCCTTGGTAAAAGAAATTTATCACCTTGGGAAGGAGTTTACCATCAAGTGTCACCACAAGTGGCCAAGTGGGTGATTGAAATAATATTAACCTAGGAATGGAAATATGTTTTAAGCTTTACATTTGGTCTAAAATAGGAGTTTAGAGGGTCTTAATTATGAAAAATACGAGTTTTAGGAAAATCCCGACGTCAAAATCTCTTAAAATGAAGAAAAGGTCCGAAATGGTAAAAAATCCAGAGTCAAATGGTAATTTCCGAAGTGGTTCTTCATGTTCAGGAGTCAAATGGTGAATTCCGAAGTTGTCCTTCAACTTTCGAAGTCGAATAGGCAAGTTCCGGAGTGACATGGGGAAATTCTGAAGTCTGTCTTCAGGTTCCGAAGTCGAAACTGAAGTTCCGAAGTCACCTTCTTATTCCGGAGTCAAAACA